AGTTATTTTCGTTCAGTTGTTGAATAATAAACATTTTCTCCTTTTTCTTAGTGTTATTCTCTTGCGTTCTTCTCTGTTATTGTCTATTGGTTCCAGCCTACAGAATAATCACTATTCTGCCCGGCGTCAAAAGGTCAAAACAATATACAGATACCACACCTTGGGTTGACATACAGAGAATGGAAATTGTGGTTTCTCATTCTTTGTCATATACTAAATTGTTGATCATCTTTACCAAAGGAACAGTGCCTTTTGCCATGATCTCTACTCTAGAAGTATTGTTGGCATGAGCAAAAAGATAGTGTCTGAAAGTATGAGATCGGGAAGAAATAGCAGAGATTATAAGAATCCATGCCAATAACGGGGTACCAAGTGGAAAAATGCATTAGGGTCTCCTTTCTATTGGTCGCAAATCGTTCCAAACTTCTAAAGACAATTCCGAACCCAGAAATGCTTCTCTCAGAGCCTAGGTATTGAACTATTGCGTTGGCTACAACTGGAGCTCCAGCGAAAGTCATTGCCCCCATATATCCAGTCGACGAGTGCACCATCCCTGCTGCACTGCCAATCCCAACAACTCTTTGAGGTGACACTGGAAGAGGGCACCCCATTGGAATTACACAATGCTCATCGTCTTCAATGCATTTTTTATACCTAAGTGACTCGACCGAGCTACCATCCTTTCCTTACTATCATCCATAGGTACTCCGGGACAATCTACAAGGGATGTTTCTTCAAGTTCAAGGAATATTCTTTTCGATGAAAATGGCATTGCATAGAGAAAAGTTGGAATCTTGCAATTTCTCTTCTTCAGTTCTTTATGAAAACCATTTTATTTACAACAAAAGGGTGGTCTTCCACTTCTGCCAAAACACCGTAAGCTACTTGATCGCCTGGATTTTATGGCTCACCATATTGTATAAGAAATCTGGAAAATCCAGTTGAATCAAGAACCACTGCAGCCTGAATAGGAACACCATCATTGCAAATCAACAAAGATTTACTATTTTACCAATCTAGTTTTTATTTGTTGCAAGTTAGACTTTTAATTTTGTTAATTTATTTTACTATGAATATTTTTAATATAGTTTATGGTTTATCATGAGCATATTTTCATATTTTATATTATTTTGATTTTTTTTTTTAGTTTGTCTCGAGGCCTACTCATAAAATGTCTCGACGCCCGATTACGCCTTTTTAATAACCATGCAAATATCGTTTTAAAACTTCTTGCCCATTTTCATGACCTAAAATATTTCAAAACTAAATACATTTAAGTTACAATCCAGGCTCTAAATCTTCTCATAAATCTGCCGTCCAATTCTGCCTTCCTGAAATTCTACCTGAGACAACTAAATTTTCATTTCTCTTTTCTCCGGAAACCACTGTTATCTTGATTTAACTATTTCCGTATCACTTCAAAAAACAGCAGATATAAATATATATGAAACTGCAAATACAGAACATAAAAATGCCTTTATTTGTGTGTTAGTAAGCGCACAAATCACTCTTCCACTTTCAACCAGAGGGATTTCTTTCGGCTCCTGCTATGAAAATGTATAACAGAAACATTTAACCAATCACTTCCCAAAGCATATGAAATGCATGATGATTGATGAACGTTTTTTGGCTGGGGATTATCCATAATATTCACTCCTTTTACTTTTCATCTATCGTTCACCCACATTCACATACACAAGTTAAAAATTCCAACATAAATCATTGATAGCATCTGAGGGGGATGCAATACTTCAAGAAAATAGTTGCTCAATTGGTCAGGTCTTGAGTTTGCTCTCCAATGGTCATCAGTTCGAATCAGGGCCACTGAGGTGTGTACCCGAAAGTAAATTTCAGGCCCCGTGGGATTAGTCGAGGTGCGTGTAAGTTGGCCCGGACATCCACGGTTATTAAAAAAAAAAAAAACTTGAAAAAAAAGAATAAA